TAGATAGATAGATAGATAGATAGATAGATAGATAGATAGATAGATAGTTAGATGAGGACTACAAGCTGCTATGTGATGGTCGAACTTTAACATTGCTACTAAGTGGAATTCAACATTAAAGAGCATTGAACTATTTCTCAACATTTGTGTCCTCTTTTGTCTCACATCTTATGCGTCTTAAACCATCATTTACACATGAAACATGCATTTATGTCTGGATCCCAAGTGATTAAACATTTTTGTTTTCCTTCCAGGTTTCTGAATTTCCACTCGGCTTAGTGGTATGCTTAAAATGCTTGTTTATTCAGGAATTTCAGATTTGAATAGGACAAGCATAGTGTGACTAATCATCATCTAACTGATGAGTGGGATGTTGAGACTTTTAGTTACTTATCAATAAATTCTAGACTTCCCCCAGACATGGCTCAGGCTGGTGGCATTTGACCCTTTATTACCAGAGTATTTTCAAATGACTTTTTGTAGAATGGTCTTTTACGTCCTCACAAATTCACATCTGTATCATTCAAACTAACCCTGAGAGCAACTGTGAGCATACAGGCTTGTGTACCTTACTTGAATAAAGTTGGGACAGACTCTAATGGTTCTGAGAAAAACGAAGTTATATAAGGTGAACAATTTAAATTGTTGATTAAACTGGATTACAATGTTTTCTATTGACTAATTTGTTTTGAAATTGCTCCTTCTTGTTATGAAATACTTAGAAATGACGTGTGCTAGATTTAGCACGGTATAAATTAATTAAATAGAATAGATTTTTCAGGAATGTGCCCTCTCTAAATTCATCATTTGATTAGTACATGCAATCTGCTCTATGTCCAGGGTCTATTGAAAGTGGATTGTCTAGTGGAGGGGCAAAAGTCTCATTACAGTGTCACGTGGAAAGATAATAACCAGGATACAGATTACACTTCACGTGCACTCTTAGACATGAAGTTAATTTAATGAATACAAAAGGAGGACAGTTAAAGTATGCTTCATACTCCTGTGAGTTTGAAAGAAAGAATAGAGGGAATTTCAGCTCCAGTAAAATTATATCTGCAAAAGTTTTAGAAAGTGCAGCTCAATACTGTATCTGTTCTTACATGATGAGGCCAGTAGAGTGTAGCATTTCTTTTTGTCTTTTGTCTGAGACCAATAACAACAGGCTCTTCATGTCTTGGAGGCGGTGTGTTACAACCAGCACTGACTGCTGGCAAAGTTCTAAATTATTATCAATTTGAAGCATTTTTGGTATCCTCCTTTTATTATTCTTTCTATTGTTAACTAAATCTGACTGTTTCTGAAAGTTTTAGGAGAAAACTTGAGAATTAGAAAAGGTTATTTGTTTGCCATAAGAAATATCTGGTTTTCTAAAAAGAAGACATCCATTTCACTTTAATTCCATAATTATTTTAAAAAATCTTAAAAATCAAAATAGGACATGAAATATTTATTCATTTTAAGAATATGTTTCATTTTTCCAAGCGCAATGTTAGTAATGGATTAAGAGTTTGTTAGGTTGTTACAGAAGAAAAAGGTATTTCTAAAAGGTTGGAAAACCTCACAAGAATGATCTTGCATTGTATGTGAATCCCTGGGGGACCGGGGGGCTTTTCTCAGTGGAATTTTTCATGTTCTCTCCATGTCTGTGTGGGTTCCCTCTGGATACTTCCTCCCACTGTCCAAAACATAAATGTTAGGTGCATGATGTGTGTGTTGTTGTTCGTCTTTTTGTGGCCCTGTGTTGGACTGGCGACCTGTCCTGGGTGCACTCTGGCTCTCACCAGATATCAGATGGAAGGGAGACCCATTGGCCTGTTATCAGCACTCAGTCCTGCATTAATGCAGGGGAGCCGGCCGCTTGGACATTTGGAGAGGCACCGTCTATGCCGGAGGGCTTTACAGACGTCTTTATCTGGATGTCATTGAATATTATCATTGAATATTTCATCAAGACAAGGCTAGACAGCATGGTGAATAAACTGCACAAATATGGCTACCCAGTCCTGGTGCTAGATTCATCTGATTGCAGTCCTGACCTTTTCAAAACTGATGATAACATTTTTTGGTTCGTGGAATGAGATGTATGGCAAAGCAAACTAGCTCCTATGAGCTCCAATACTCCCATACCAGACAAGTAATGAGACAGCATTCCTCTCCAAAAGCTACAGTAACTAGTCTTCTCAGTTTCAAGATGCTTACAGACTGTCCTTGATATCAGAGGGGATACAGTTGAGTCCTGTTAACACATATTGACGCCATTCAATTCAAGTGTGGCTAATATATTTGATACATACGTCTCATTTTCATTTGTAAAAAAAAGTCTATAAACTTGGTTCATTCTTGGTTCTGCTTTGGGTTTGGGGGGAAATTTTGGAAAAGCAGGTGAAAATAGTTTTTTTTTGGACAGTGGAGCAAAAGGGGAAGTCGGATATGTTGTGAGTGGCCGCGCCCCGGTGTGCGTAAAGAGGCGTGCGCAGCCACCTGAGGCGCAGCGCGCACACAGAGACACTGACAGGCGGCCAGGTACGCAGCGGAGCTGAAGCGGAAGAAGGAGCAGGTCTATTTTTTTCCCCCCGACTGTAGCTATTTAGTCCAAGGTGTCTCCAGGTGTTCCAACCGTGCCGCCTGCTCTTTGGGAACGCGCTTTCTTTATGAAAGTTTGGCGGAGTCGGAGGAAACATGACAGAACAGGGAAAGAAGCTGGTTCTGATCTTGGTGGATGTTCTCTGTGTCTTTGTTGGTGAGTTTTTTTTTCCTTCTTTATCCTGCTGGCAATATGGCTGAACTTGTGATAAGCTTCATACTGAAAGTCTTTCCAGTGATACTGTTCGTATTGAAATGACCAAATGTGTTTATATAAAATCAGCTTTTTTTTTTTAAACAGTCGTTTGCACACTGACGCATGTAATTGCTCAACAGACTCATCTGATTTATGGATCTGTTACAGATACAACAGATGTTGCTTAATAGGCTTCTGCCAGATGACGTGCCTGATCAAAAAGCGAAAAAAACATCCCCCATCTTCCTTTAATCGTTTATTCCTCCAGATCCCAAGATTCTGTGGGCAGGGATTTTAAACACTTGCACAGTCAGCACAGCAATTCCTCATAGCTTCTTATCTTGTTCAAACAAGCCAGTGACACTGTTTCTCAACACTAAGTTGGATTGCTTTTGTTGTTGCTCGGGTTTCAACTTCTTCACCATTTCAAATATCATCTGTTGCCTGTTTCTGTCAGGTGAAATGTCCATTCTGCCATTTTTTGTGTTGTTGTTTTTGCATGTTCATCTGCCTACACCTCCTGTCCTTTCCTGTTTGTTTTTAGCCTGCCGTGAGGAGGAAGAGCAGAGATCACTGTCAATGAAACACACTGACAGTAAAAATCCTGTTTTGGAAAATGTAGATCAGGTGTGTGTGTGTGTGTGTGCGTGTGTGTGTGTGTGTATGGGCGGGGGATAGGAGTCGTAACCTCCCATCTCAGATGTGATGTGTTTACATTTCTTTTCAAGAAAGGCAAATTCCATAGTTCTGATAGGGTTTTAGTCTCAGTTTTAACAGTAGGTCATGAATTCGGGTTCTGGCAGTATCCTCACAAAGCCCGACAGACATGAGGGTGGGCTCTACTGTGGTAGGGTCATACACAAAGAACAGAATGACTTGTTGCTACTTGCTCTAAGCTTTAAGGACATACAGGAATTAAGCCCTTAATGGGTATCTTCCAGCTGTTCCTGTCACTCTTCTCCTATTTCTGCCAAAGGCAGAGGTGAGAGCAGAGGAAACACGAGTAATTCGGGGGTTAAGGCAGAGTTTGCCTGCAGAAACATTACAGTTTGCATAACGTTTGTATGCGTGTGTCATTTTCTGATCAGGCTCTCCCAGTAGTAAACCCCTGTTGTTTGACAGGGAGGAATGATAATGACTGTACTGAGTGCCCATTCATTTTACCGTTGCTGATTGTGGAAATGTTGCAGAGAAAAACACATGAATGATTTTGAATCTATTGGTTGAAACGCAGAGAGGATTTTTCATTGTGTAGTTGGCATGAAGATTCATGTTTCCTTTGCTGACGAATGTAAACAAGTACATGCTTAAAATGACGGGCCTTTTCCAATATCTCAGCACCCTGTTGTGAAATCGGAGATAAGGCATCGTTTTTTTTATTGTTTTTTTATTAGGATGAGTCAACCTAAATTCTTTCACTTGGAAGGATCCCACAGCTTTTTAAAAAGTGAAAACGTCTGTTGGAAGATGTCCTTTAGAAGTTGCTAGAATGATTAAACCCGTTATGGTAGATTCCTTAAGACATTCCGGTTATATAATTAAGCCTTTACATTTAGGAAACGGATGCAAACACTGGTCTTGCCTATGATGTATAGAAATTGTATTTACCCCCCACTTGAATGTGTTTTCATGTTCAAGAAAGATGGAATTAAAAACCCACCAAAATGTCAAGCAACTCTATATAAATTGGCATGGTGCTGGAAACCAATGTTATTAACTGTTTTATGTCCCCCATCGATGCTTTGGGGCAGCTTCAGGCTGTGAAATGGGGTGTACTCATATCATATGTAAGGAGCACATAGTTTTCAGGTTCACAAACTTATCTAGAGTTGCTTTGATGAAATCCTTACAATCATATAAAAACAACCACAGTACAGAGTAAAATAACAGCACCTTTAGCACACAAGTATGTTGAGGAAAGTTAGCCTGATGGCAGATGGTTTTAGCCTGTGAGGAATGTGTTGTGGGGAATAAAAGAAACAGTCATCATGGATGCCAGCTTTCCTGTAGTTCTGAAACCTACTGCACAGAAAAAGATTCACAAGTATACATGACACTCACGTTCTCAAACTCAATTAAACTGTTTGATTCAAACATGTATACTTCGCTTTAGTGTGGACAGATGACCAGCAGAGCCTTTATAAGGTCACATATTTTCATCCCTTCTCCCATCACATTTTCCCATCCCTCACCAATCAGCACAATTTCCCTGAAAAAGGGGTTCCATGTTTTCAATAAACAGGAAGGCTGCACCGCAAACAGAAATAATGCAGACACTTCTGGGTTACTACGCATTTCAGTCCGGCAATGTCTTATTTGTTCTTCCTGTGTCAGATGCACCAAAAAAAAAAGATTTTATATGAGCCATGGTCCATCCTGCAGTCTACATGTTTTGATCAGCTAAAACTCCTCTCCTGTTGGGAGCCTGGGAACCCAGGAGTGCCCCAGATCCTGGGAACTAATCCTGGGAACTACAGACATTTAAATGTACAACACATCTTTTGCGTGGGATCTTTAAACAATCCATGGGAAAAAACCTGTCTGAGCTCACTGTTTTCGGCTGTGATCCTGTTGTAAAGGGGTCGTTTTATTCTTTTGGAGGTGTCTCCTTTCCCTCACTGTGTCACATAGATTTTTGCATACGCCTGCGAGAACTCTGCCGAGTTACAAACTCTGCACAAATGTTCCTGCCTCTCACAGAAATCAGCTTTTGAACTGCCTGAAACACTGTTAGTAATACACATAACGTAGGATATGAAGTTTAATCTGAACATGTCTTGTAAGTCGGTTGCATTACTTGTTATTTACGCAATAAATGGTTAAAGTATTTTTGCATGAGCAAGTGTAAATACTCTTTGGCATTTAATGTAATCTTTGGCTCATCAACTCTCAAGTTTTTGTTGGTTTCCGCATTATGAAACTCACTTCACCATAACATTTAGTTAGCTTCTTCTGTAGTGGCACTTCAAGCTGCATTATGTTTGAGCAACTTCTTCATCTTGCTGCTTCTTCTCTCTTTTTTTACCATTGATGGGACGTATTTTTTTCCATTTTTTTAAGAGCACAGCTCTGAGCCGCTCCATCTAAACACCCCTCCTTCATCCTTATCAGGTCTTTGTGAGTTCCCAAATAGAACCGTTTACCGGGACACTTTCTCATAGTTGGAATTGTAAAAGAGGTGTAATTCCTTCATGCCAGTGGTGGTAATTCACAGGATATGATTTTGAGTCACCCTGAAGGGTGTGAACACACCACAGAGATGAACATTCCAACTGGTGGTCTTGCTACTTATTTGACAAACAAACCAGTAAGTCACCGGTTCAGTTGTGAAATTAAATTACGAGTCACAAGAAAAGTTACGCTGCTACTCCAACCTATCGAACCCAACACCAGTGACTAAACTATGAGGCACTCATGAAAGAACGACTAGTTTTTTTTTGTTCTGATCAAAGAGAACAAAGCTTTCCCAAGGCCTTTGACTCACTAAAAGCAAAAATGTCTGATGGCGACAAGAGGCGCCGTAGCAATGACCATATGACACAAATAGATGTTTATTTTCTACATAGACATCTCCTTCTTTGGGCACTTTTCTGTATTTTTTTTTTTTGTTTCAAAGCTGTTTGTACTGTGAAAAATTGGAGCCGTAGTGGTTTGAACTGTGCTTCAGTACGAGTGAAGCCAGCTGTTGCTCCACCATGGTGTACTGTTTCTGGAGCCCTGTAGGTGTACACGGCATAGCTCTTTGTATCCAGTTTTATCTAACAGAAGCAAAGAACGTGCTCGGTTTCAGGAAGAAATACTCGCATGACAGAGAATAGGGCTGAGGATTAAAGAAACTGAAAATCAGGAGCACACCACAATGGCTATTTGTTATGAGGGGCCAGCATTGGATCAGGCAGCCTCCGAAGCATCATGCTGGTTGTCCTGTCTGCAGTTATGTTATGGACATCAACACACACAAGAACGTACATTTAAACATACATATTGCATTTATTTTCCATTTTGAAATATAAATGTCTGAAATGTCAATCGTACAACAAAGAATACAAAGAGAATACAAAGACAGCCGATGTTTGCAGGGGAGACTTTAAAGCCCCACCTTTTTTACGATCTATCATTTTGGAAGAGCCTGAACTTTCGGCTAATGCAGTCAATTTACGGTCAGTTTAGCTGAAAATGTATTAAATGAGAGAAGCGACGGAAGTAAGAATCAGCAAAAAGGAAACGTGTCCTCCTGTAGTGCTGAATTGCCTTAAGATTACTGATCGGGTGCTTGAGGGGTCAGACCTCAGCCGGCTCGGCTTCATCAGCCATCATGAAACCGAGGTCAGTGACTGAAGACGCCTGTAGATGTTTATCTCCGCAGAATGTTACTTACGCGCAACTTTTAACCAGCTGTCCATGCGCACTAGACTCTCCTCCATATGTGGAGTCTCATTCGCCAAAAAGACTTTCACCCCTTTTTGCCTGCTGTCTGTTCAGAGTCAAGCGGGATGTGCTGTTGTGTGTCTGCTCTGCTGTGTGACGGCCCTTTTGTTAAAATTGAAGAGTCGGAAATGTGTTCACATACTGTACACAACAAAGCTTTCACATAGTCGTCAGTACTGTGGTTTCATGTGAGGAAGAATTATTTCCAGTTTTCTTTGTGCTCGTTTAAGGTCAAAGTCGCACATCCATTGAGAATAAAGATTCAAAGTCTATGCATTTCATTTTCTAACATGTTAAGAATATCTATGGACTGGATACAGTTAAACTATGATTCTAGGCTGCCCGAGGACTTCAGATGCACATTCAGTCCATTTGTAATCTATGCAAATGTTCCAGAACACTAAGATCGGAGAAAATAAGAACTGAAACAAAAGTTTAAAGGTGCACTTATGTGGCTCCTAAATAATGACAACTTGCTTTTAAGGTAGGTTGTTGTTTAATGAGTGCATTAAATGCAGGAATTGTAGCAAATTCTGTCTCCTCAAAATGTTCCCAAACTCCCAATTCACTGGGGCAGTTAAACTTAAGAATGTTTTTTCTGTTCTTATTAAATTGGGATCTCAGTAGAAGTCTTGAATATATCTCTCATGTACGTCCATTGCAGCTTGAACTGGCAACAGGTAGCTTTACACAGAGCCCAGAAACGGATTACACAGCTGGGCTCTGCTTTTTAAAAGGTAATCAAAACGTCTAGCATAATAACTAAAGCTTGTAAGAATGACTTTGTGTTGGCTTTCATTAGAAGAAAAAAACTTTTTATCACCCCTTGTTGTGCAGGATTTTCCCAGGAAAAATCCCCAGCCTCACAGGAAGCGGTGATCACTTTTGCAACAGTGTTCCTGAACATAGCGAAGGCTTATCTGGCCCAAAAATGCTCAAACAATGATGGCCATTATGGACAGAATGGATAGAAACATTGGAAAACTGCTGTCAAAGACACACTGTTGCTCTCACACTGTTCTTTTTGAGAATTTCAGAAGAATGCAGCTCAGAATGAGACGCACAGCAATGGATTAATAACAAAAAAAAGAAACCACCTTCCCCATGTATAAAGAAGGATTTCCACAAGTTAAACATTTGCTCTCAGACCGTCTCAGTGACATGTGGAAAACCAGTCACAAATCCCTGTGAGATTGCCCAGCAGAGGTACAGATCTCTCAATCGTCTGTTGAAGCACGAAGACCTCGAATAAATACACACACACATCCCTGCTCCCCATTTCTGGTTCTTTTCCTTTCAGACATCTTAGGTTATTCGGCTCTCCAGGGCCTACAGTGTGGCCCCACCGCGTGCGCAGCCGCCGCTCTTCTTGAGAGCTGAATAACAGGAACACTTCCCTCTTCCTGCCAGGTCAGAGGTTAAGGGGAAGTTGTACTTGTGTCTGATCCCAAATTCCTGTATGTTTATTTTCTCAAAGTGGAATCGGGGCGCTGCTTTTGCCAGAAGAGATTGTGAAAGCGTAAAACAATACTTTCCATTTTTTTTCTCTCTTTTTTTTTTTTTTTAAATCCCTCTTGTGGACATTTTGTGTCTGAGGACAAAAAGTCAGCAGAATCAGTGTGTTATTCTTTAGAGAAGAAACAGGAACCGATTGTAACATTGTTTGCAGCTGGGAAAGCTTACTCGGATAGTTTAACTGGCAACATGTAAAATGTCAAGTTAAGACAAGCACATTCAGTCCTGAAGAACTTCATTTTGATGCACTCGGGTAATTCTTTGGCATACAATGTTATCACCAGCTTGCTTATGATGGTAGTTATGCATACAGTAACGGTTGCATAGATTATGTTATCAGAGGGATACATTTTATACGCAATACACTACAATGAGCACTTCATATTTTTGTTTTCTTTCTCATTTGCATCCCGATCGGCTGTCAGGCTGTTGCACTGAAAAGAAAAGAACTGAAAAGAAGTCACATGCAACTTCTACTACTTGGTCAAATTGCCTTCCCACAAGCACACCATCACTTTATCTGTTCCTCTTCTGTGCCATCCGTGGGAATGGGCAATCTGAATAAGAAATAAATAAATTAAAAGCTGCAAAATGGCTTAAATGTCTGGCTGTTTTGCTGGACACAACGATGATACTCAATAAATTATATAAAATAAAATAAATCAAATTGGGTTATTCTAGGCCAAGTCATCTTTGAATTCCCACCTGAAATTTTCAGTTAATTTTATTTCAGAGAATATATATTTTGGTTTCTTTTGTAAACTTTTTGCTAGACTCCCCCCCTCTAGGCTCAGTCTGACCCAGGCTCTGGTAAGGGAGGCCCCCCCACAAGCACAGGCTATAAAAACATGCCAAGCCTTCTGTAATAATAGAGCAGATAAAAAAGCCATCAAAAGATAATGGAAAAACCTCTTTGGGCTTGGCTTCTATACACTGATAGGATGGCGGATCGGCTTTCTCACAGACTCCGTGGTTAAATTGGCCTCAAGCTTGTTCATCCGTGTGTTTTGCAGACCAATGTCCAACCCGGCCCCCTCACATCTCCACCAGGGCAGTGTGGAGCCTCTGGAGACCTCTGCCAAACAAGTTGTTTCTTATCTAAATGTTATCCTTGCACCCTGCAGAACAAACTGCTTGGGCTTGACTTCAAAGTGGAGCTGAAAACACGCTTGAGCTGCTGAAATAATGAATTTAAGAGATGTGAAGAGCTAAGGGAGGACTTCATCACATGAGAGCAGGTTATCTAAAGAGGAAACGGCCCACCGTCATTATTAGTGATACTTTTTTAGACGTCCTGAAAAATATCACAAGAAACGTTATGGGAAGATGACGGTGTCCATAATGACCTGGGCAGTTGTGTGGTGCAGTGCAGCATAAGCGTCTTTAAAGTACCATTGTGAACACAGAACTGACACATACTGTTTCAGGACCTGTTTTTTTTCACAGTGGCCCATAATCCTGTCATTTTAAAGCCATAACCTGGTGGCATACTGCTCGAGATTTTAGCTCCTCAGAGGAGAAATCACATTTGAACTGTCAATATTCAATAAAAATCTTCATGGCAGGCATTTTACAGGGATTACACAATAGTTATTAAACATAGGAAAAAAGATTATCCAATGGCTAATGAAGCCCTTGTTGAATTATTGCCTTTGCTATTCTGTTATTTTTCACCCCCCCAAAAAAAGTCCAGGTGTACCACTGGGAGACATTGTCTTGTATATAAAATGTGCTACACAAATAAATTTGCCACTAGGAATAAGTGGTATGGACAATGAATGTATGACATGGAAAATCTGCCTGATGAGACAAATATCATGATTTATTTAGTATGCTTTAAAGGCATCCAGTTAACGCAGTCTCTGAAAGGTTTTTTATAAGTGCAATGTAGCCTGTACCTCTACCATCTTGTGACACTATTTACTTAAATCCAATTAAGCGGAAGCACATCTTATTCACATTTTATTTTTTCAGCTTTTTTAAAAAATCACTTCTGATATGGGGTGGAAACCTGTCTGTTGGCTTGTTGATGAGGCATCAGTGGCCCAACATTCAGCATGGTACATGCTTCTGCTTGTGCTCTTATGTGGCTGTGTTTAGTTCTGCTTGTCAGAATGACAGGTACACACTTTAAGGGAAGGAAGCAACGTGCTGGTAGAGAGCAGTTCTTATTGTGTTTTGTACGAATATAAAGAGAGAAAAACAAACTCCATGTTGTTTTTGTTGTTCTTAGTTTCAGCAGGGAAGGTCTTGAACGGGAAACCTATTTTAAAAGTTGTAGCACAGAAAGTCTTTAGATTTGACAATTGTCCCTCTCAGATTTAGCTGACAGCTTTATGCCCTCTTTTGTTTGCTCAGGAAGAGACCATTAAAATGCAGAGTTTTCTGTGTGTCCAACACAAAAGCAAATGCGCAAGCTAGTTTTCATTACAGCCCTATAAATCCATTCATCCTTCACAAAAGGCTGTATGTGAAAAGCCTGTTTGTGAGGCGTGTTTACAAGCACATTTCTCTGCACGTGGCATCGCAGGTATGCAAGTGTGTGTGTCCGTGTGAAGGGCTCAGCTCCCAGGCCCTGCACGCTGTAGCCACTGCCCCCCGTGTCAAAGGTCACGCTTGTTGTGGCCCGTATGTTTCCACAGTGATGGCCAGTTCCTTTCCAGAGAGTAAATATGACCCGTAGAGGTGAAGCTGCTGCCATGGAGGACAAATTTATGCACTTGGCACGGTTGGGTTTTCTCCTCGAAGCCAAAAATGGATCATTCGGTGTGTTCTTAGCTGTTTCCTGAGCTGCAGCTCGCTGTGCTGTCCAGCTTTCAACCCTGAGCTGACTTGTGAGTGTTTTGTTTTGGCACAACCAAATTCTGTGACAGAGTGATGAAATGATACGACTCATGGGGGTTTCCCACAGATTGCTACTTTTTCAAAGATGTTTTAGGTTAAGCAGTTGTGATGGATTGTCCTTGTTTTGTTTGTGTTTGTGTGGAACCCTCCTCTTTGAAATATTCCACCAACTAACCGACGAAAACCTATTTAGATGACTATATTTCGGCAAAATCAATCTTTCCGTCCGTCTCACGGTGCCTGTTTTGACCTGTTTCTTTCAGCGGCTTTGCCGTCAGCCATTCTTACGCTGGTGTTCCAGCCTTATCAGAGAGGAATCTACTGTGATGACAAGAGCATCAGCTACACGTACAGGAGAGACACCATCTCCCATGGAGCCATGGCTGCAGTCACCATCACCTGCTCCATGGTCATTGTGAGTCCCAGATCTGCACGTCAACTCAAATAACCTCCCCCCACCCTCCCATCCCTTCCTTAATTACATGTATTCTGTTTCCTGACCCGCCACAGATCACCACAGGAGAGGCCTATCTGGTGCACACCAAGCGTCTGCACTCCAACTCCCAGTTTAACCAGTACCTGTCCGCCCTCTACAAAGTGGTGGGCACCTTTCTGTTTGGGGCAGCTGTCAGTCAGTCCCTCACAGATTTGGCGAAGTTCACCATCGGCCGCCCGCGTCCAAACTTCTTGTCGGTGTGCGCCCCGGTCAGCTGTAACGGATACATGCTGCAGATCAACTGCACGGGCAGCCCGCGCAATGTGACCGAGTCCAGGTGAGCCCCCCCCCGCACTGAGCTCCTGCCGTATCGAGCCAATGCGGATCCAAAGGTTGGCCTTGGCAACCACACACAATTGATAGTGAAGTTCTGCTGTGTGCTACACATCTCACAACAGAATTATTTAAGAGATGCAGTACTTCCCATTCCTTAAACCACTAAAGGGGGACAGTGTTGCATTTAAGCTGATGGAATTCTAATAGAGAGCACATAAACAGATAAATTCATTAAATGTGTTTAGTTCATGGAGATCCGAACAAGTGAAATTTACCAGAGCAATATATACCTGTGGCTGTTTTTGGAAATCAAAATAAAAAAACGAAATGCCTGTTTATGTGAAGAATGATCAGAAGTATGCAAAACTTTAAAGAGGCATCAATTTCCACTCCAGCCACCCCATTGGGAGGAATAGCACCTTTCTGACAAACCATGCAAACATTATCTGGTTCAGCTTCTGGTCTTTAAATGTTTTTCTTGCTTTAAACCAACATTGGGTTCTCGGGTACATTCCCTGGACTGTGGTGTGATGTAGAATATGATAAAAGTGAGGTGAAATGAGTCTGAGGAAGAAATTAGGTGAAGTTGATGGGAAAATGTGAGCATTCCTTGAAACTAACCCTTTCTTTGTTCACAGGTTGTCATTCTACTCGGGCCACTCATCTTTTGGGATGTACTGCATGCTCTTCCTCTCAGTGAGTGTTCTTCGCTTATAGCGTGAGACTCTGTGCGTGTCACTGTCGTTACTGTTTACCAAAAACACACACAAGTGAGCCAAAACAGGAGAGGCAGGGCAAGACGCACATATAGCTCAGCTTCGATAACATCATTGTTGTAACATAACACACTCTACAATGGCCGGAAGGTAACAGATTTAATGCTGTAATCCTGGTTTCCGAGGTAGTATTTTCCATTCCAAGAGCTGTGCTCTTTTATACATGTTCAATTAAAGTGCTACGCATCGACACAAATGTCACATACCCCCGTCATATAACTGACCAATCAGAAGGGCGTTCAAATTATCATTGTAAGGATTATAGTGTTCAACATGTTTTGTTTTTGTTAGTTTTTTGTTATGAAATTTTTGTTTCAGTTTTCAAATTGAATTTTTTTTTTCTAAAGTTTTGGGCTATCTGGTTGGGCAAAATGTGTCTTGTCATTTGGATTATTCATAACTCAATTGTGTACGTTTCTGTGTGTGCGCACAGCTTTACGTGCAGGCCAGAATGCAGGGGAAGTGGACAAGACTGGTCCGGCCCACCATCCAGTTCTTCCTGATAGCGTTCGCCGTGTACGTGGGATACACGCGTGTCTCGGACTATAAACACCACTGGAGCGACGTCCTGGTGGGGCTGCTGCAGGGAGCGCTCATCGCTGTGCTCACTGTGAGTTTCTGCCCGGGTAACCCCTCTCAAAGCTACATGGTTTTTTAATTTATTTGTTTATTTATTTTTTGTGATCTACACTCCATGTGAGCAAATTGAAGTAGACTAAATCTTCAGATGCGCTGACATCATTTTGGTAAATGTTCAGGTTCCCCAGCTGTAAATGCTCCTGCCAAACGTAGGTGTGTATAGATGTAACGCTGAAGTTAACCAATGCTCACACACAGTAACGCCTTCACTTACGGGCAAGCCGTGACAGGCGGAATGCAAGTGGATAAAAAGCAGTTGTATTTTAGTCAGGAGCTTTTACTTCTGGTTGGAGCTGAGGAACCTGGTGCCACGGTAGAAAATGGCAAACAAAGCAAGACAGAACTGTGCGTTTGTTTTTGTTGCTTCTTCTTTTTTGACAAGATTTGAAAAGCCGCCTGCTCGCATGGGGGCTAAAGGCGGAAGACTCCTCCTGCTTAATTCTTATCTGAGACAGATAGCAGATCTTTACAGTGTGCAGCTTTGTGAGGACAGAAGGGAGACACCAATGCAAATTAGGGTTAGTTTTCAAGGCATGACCCACTGAATCCTGCTTGACAGTGTTTGAATTGTCACTGGCAGCCTTTTCAACATGTCCGCAGCTATTTATAGTGGCAGCAACTGTAGAATCCAAGTTGTAGAAAAAAACACTTTGTAATGGCTTTATTTTGTTTTACTTCACGTAAGATAAACTTTTCAATTGATTTGCTCTTTTTTTTAAGCAAAAAAGAAGATCACATCCTTACCACTTAATCTTCACTGTATGTAATAACTAGGTTATGAATTGAAGTGTACAACCTTTTCTTTTAAAGATGTATCTTGTGTGCCATGATACAGAGCTGGACTCAGTTATGGAAGCGCTGCTTTCAAATTAAGGGAACGTTTTTCTAAGCAACATGTCGGCCTGCTCTGCCCCTTCAAATGCTCATCGCTTACTTTTGCTCTCAGGTGCGATACCTTTCCGACTTCTTCAAACATCGGCCTCCGCTCTGCGCAGAACAACAAACGGACGAAAACCAGCGGCTGGAACGCAAACCGAGCCTGCAGCCTTCGGACTCGCAGCACGGAAACCACTACAACTGCTCTGGGCCCGTATGAGCCCTCAGCAACACGGGCCCACACGAGCAGCTCCGTTACCTAAAGACCTGTGAAAGGAACGAGAAGACCAAACGTAACACAGTTCACTTTGAAACAACTTCCCAACACCTCTCCTGCTATGAAAGCTTGGATCTCCAAAACCTGTTGGAACAGATTCTCAATGGTTTCATGTTGTGTCAGTGTGTGTTGCAAATGATGTGCCTTACTGACTTATTTTTTGTAAACACATGCAGTAACTGTGTACATATATATATATATATATATTTTATTCTCTAAGTCTTCTTTTTAAACTGTTCATCCCTGTCTTGTCTTAACAGATAAGAATGAAATTGAAAGCGACTAAATGAAAATAACATTTTCTGTCCCGGAAGAGAAGCAAAAACATTGGCCAAACATGTTCCAAATAGTTAGTCAGACATTACTGTCCTTGTATCTACACTGGAGCTAAGCTGTATCTGCCTGTTCCTATTCTTTTTTTTTTTTGCTTTCGACAGTTATTTTTTCATCCCTGGAACCTGTGAATGTGTAATGATGAACAGCTTCCACTAACTCGGCGCATACTGACAAATGATAATGTACAGTGCTAACATTTGTTTTTATCTTGTTTATAACTAATGTATCAATAAATTTTATAGCATTTTAAGAATGCGTAACTGCTCCTTTCCGGCCAGGTTCCAGCAAAACCTTTGTTTCTCACAGTGCCTCTCGTCGGACACCTTCATGGACCTCTTCCTTCCCCCTTTATAAAAGCTTAACAGGTTATGAAACTGCACCAAAAAAACCAACAAAAAATCTTACCACTTCTCCTCTGCCAGATGGATTGTTTTGTGTAGCTTCTTTAGGAATATTAGCCAGGGTAAGTCAGGGTGCGCTCTCTTAAACAAAAGAATGAATACACAAAGAAAAATATAGAATATATAGAAATGCGTCATTTGTGGTGACAGCCGCTGAAAGAATTCTGTGCCGTTCTCATTGAGCTACTAGTTATTCAGCGTGTGCATGACACTCATGTCTGAACCTGCTGCCGACGGTTGTGAGATTCCTTAGTGCCAGTGGAATGGGACTGTTGATCCACATGCCACATGCTAAAGCACAATATGTGGAGCAAGTTTGTTTTAGACATGACTGCTCATAGTGAATAATAACATACACCATGCACATTAAATAACTCATTTTTATGAAATATTTCAGATGTGACCCGAGACAGACTTGACTGTTTAGTAGATGTCGACCATCCTGGGGTCAATATCTGGGTGGTTTATGCAATTTCCCTCATATGCACCAAGCATCAACACATGACCACTCTCAATCAGGTCTTTTATTTGTAAGGCACCAGAGAAGCTTCCTTACTGCTAAAAGTATGATTCATTTACATAAGAGTACACAGTTGCTTGCTTACAATTTTTTTTGTCACAGGGATTTTGAAATGTGCGTTCATAAACACATTGATTTTTTTTTTCAATTTCCAAAGGAAAAAAGGGGGGGAATAACATTTACAAACCTAAAAACAATGTTACGTTTTACAATCTACCAAGAGTGAACAGAAGAGACAAAAACAGGAAAAACATGGTATACAACATTGTGCCTCTTACTGTAGGCTCGCTTTGCGCGCACACACACATACACCCAACACTGAAGTCTTCCATGATACACACATGTTAAAAAGCAGCTTTGAAACGTACAAAAATGCTTTAAAAATATGTATATTGATATATTCATATGTATACAAATTGGCCCTTCACAGCAAAAAACAAACACACAAACAGTTCACATGTCCGAGTTTTGCCAAAGGAGGTTTCCTGTGGAGACTGATGTGAGCCTGTGGAGCGCCAACCTATCATCAGCCCCCGCGCTTCCATGCATGGCGGTCAGCCCTCCGAGCAGAGAAACTGTTCACCCCCCTCCAACACTAGCACTATCGGGAAAAACAACGGTAAAGACGCGCATGGAACCAGAACTAAAGTGATTTCAAATTGAAAATACAGGGGGGAGAACCTTTTGAAGCTCTTATCTGGGACGTGAGCAGAGATCAGGGGTGGGCTGTCAGAGCACTGGAGAGCGCTCACATTGCTGAGGCATGGCAAAAGGCAGAGATGGAAATAAAGATGGGCGCACAGGGGGACAACAGACTGTCCTGGACCTTTTCAGCTGCTTCACATAACACCTGCCTTATTGACTTCATGCTGAGTTTGAGGGCCCTGCTGCCCTCTGCTGACTAAACGGTGAACATTTCTCAAGCAATCCAACATACCCGCGGCAAGCATTAGCCACATAGCTTATGAAGACATCAACTAACATGACATTAGACTCACTGCATGTCAGACGAGTACAGAAATAATGAGCCTTTCTCTGAGGTGCCCCAGGATTCGCTTCAGTCAACAATCACGTTTTTTGTTTGTTTGTTTTTTTTAGTTCTAGCGGCAAGCAGCTGCTTGTGTACTGTTGTGAGGGAGGAGACTGTTAAAACAGTCCGCGTTGTGGGTATATACTTAAAATGTTCACTTCTCCTGTGCAGGTACTCTGCAAACTTAAAGAAAAAAGAAGAAAGAAAGAAAGAACACCAGAATTTTGCAACCTTTTTTAGTCTACAGAATGCACGTTGAGGTTTGTGTTTACAGCATCATGACCAAATGACAATGCCAGGCTTGCAAGGATATAAGGAGGATTGAATTAGAAGCCAAAAAAAAAAAAAAAAGGAAGGGGGAAATAAAGGCAGAGTGACTGTTGTGCAGTTCGATTAAAAAAAAGGAACATATACAGACTGTTTCTACAATAGGAAAAACATAAAGTAAGACTATCCAGACACAGGACATTATATCACATGTACTGTATCACAGCTTGTGATAAGAGACAGTTGGAAACATAGTTTTAATGTATTTCCATAGTTTTGTTTGCAAAAGTGTTGTTTTTATTAGGAGCATGTTTTTTTGCTTACAGAGCTTTGCCAAATTAAGACTTATTAAATCAAGAATAGGATCCATCCCTCCCACCCACACTAATCTACAAAGACAGAAAAAAAGGCAGTTGTTTGATACAGTCTTGATAAAAACTGTAGAGCCACAAAAAGTTGAAAACGTACAGCACTCCTCTGACCGGTTTGGTAATTTAGATGCGGCTCAGCTTCTGTCTGAAGCTGCAGCGTTTAAACGGGAAGTTTGAACACGTCTACACAGCCAGGCATGCAGGTAGAGGGAAAAGACTGGAAGAGAAAACTATTAAATCAAAAATCTGTCTTCTCTTCCGTTGTGTTCACCTTTCGAAGGCCTAATTAGACACTTGCTGTACATAATAAAAACTCATTTTCCGGCTTAAATGCCGTCAAACTAAGGAAAAAAAAACACTAAACTTTATTTTGGCTCAGAGATTTGATTAATGACAGAAGAGCTTGAGCTAATGTTTTTTAATTTTATTTTGGAAGATATGTAAATGGAACTATTAAATGTCTTACTGCGAGGGGGGGGGGGGGGGGTTCCAGCAAACTGGGACGCTCTGAAAAACTGCTTATTGTGACTGGAACACGGCAGCCAGTGAAAAACAATCGGAGGGACTGCAGAGGACACAGAAATAAACACCAACATGAGTCATAAAAATAAATCTGAGGCAGGTTCGTGTTCAGAGTCTGCTGACTTTGTATCATCCTCATGCGTCTCCAAATGGGGAAACATTAATCTTGGGTTAACCCTAACAACAGTGGCTTATACTAACAAAAAGAGAAAAAAAAAAGCATCTAATAAAAGCGTAGAAGCCTGAACTGTGTCTTTTACCACTAAATAATAAGAAAGTTAACTCTGAGTTTCAGACTTTCCTCCTCTGCACATCCGAAAGTTTCAGCCCCGTCCTCTTTGCTCATCATCATCATCATCATCATCATCATCTTCCCTGCGGTTACTCTTCTACAACATTCAGCAGCCAGACTTACATCAACACCATTTATAGTTACAACCTAAACTTTTTTTTTTTTCTTTTTCTTCTTTCTTCCAAGACAGCACATACCATCCGTCCTCCTAACCTCCTCGCTGTGTCTGCACTAGTCTGACTTGTCTCCATCCTCTCCCCTGGGCGCTCTCTCGGCGGCTTCTCTGGCCTTGTCCTCCTTCACTGTCGGCGGCTGGCCGTGAGAGTAGTTGGCCAGGATGGAGGAGAGGGAGAGCAGGCCGGAGCTGGAGGAGACGGCGGGCAGGGAGGGGGGGGTGAGGCCCAGGGGCAGCGGGGTCACAGGCAGGGCCAGGCCCTGGAGCTGGGACAGATGTTGCACCTGCAGCTGTTGCTGTATCACAAAACGACAAAGTGCTGTTAGAGCGGCGGCTCACACAGGGTTCCGCCTTTGTTGTCATGTTTGTATTTCCTGTGCAAACTAAAATACTTTACCAACTTAATTTACTGCTGTGAAGCAGAAGGGGAAAGCAGAAATGTACAGAAGATGTAAAATAGCTGGACACAGTTTATCTTTTGCCACCTCAATATGAAAAGAAAATCAAGGCCAAAGTGAAGGTTTGGTCGATGGGCCATCTGGTGTTTGCTGATTTTAAACCCTGTTTTATGGGACACAGACACTTAAACATCCCCTCTATGGGAGCCATTTTCTTTTCTTTTAAGGCACTTTTTTAAGAACAGCGCACACAATCTGTTCACATTTACTGAACCCTGTCTTAACCTGAAATGTAGCTTGTGCTACCTACTGTATTGTTGTTCTCATAAAAAGGATGAAACCTTTTTTCCAAACTATACTTTTAAGCTAAACAAACAAAGAAAAAAAAGAAATCCCAACTTCTTTTGTACCAGGATCTGTTTGCATGCATATGTGCAAACTTTTGTAAGCTGAGTTTGGTCTTGAGATTGCCCTAAAGATACAGAGTTAACAGTCTGTCTCTTCCATCTTTCAGAAATGTCCTTTCTATGGAGGAACTGCTGGACAATGCAAGTCTGTCAGAGGTTACTTTAGGTCTTTTACAGGAGGAGGGTTTTTTCTGACAAAGACTCCTAAGAAGAAGTCTCTTTAAAAGTTTGCTTTATCTTACAGGCATAAATGTACACGACTGAGTCGGGGGAAAAACTGTGTTGGTTTTGTGGATATCTGTTATTTTCATAACATTTTGCCGAACAATCTGCAACGGATGCCAAACCAATTATGGCTGTGGTGAAACTTTTGCAAGGTTTTTGTTTCAAACAGCATTGCAGAAATAATAATAAATTATCATTTACATGAAACTTCAAGGTTTTTTGAAAGCGAGTTGTGTTGAATAACACCGGCTGTCCTTGGCAGACGGAGTAAGCCAAAAAATCTTGCAGCAACATCTGGTGGACACTTTGAGGTAGGGCCTCATCAGAAAAAAAAAGAAAAAAAAAAACTCACCCTGATGATGGAGTTCATCTCAGGAGGTGTGACCTGCTTGGCTCTCTCTATGGCGCCCATAACTTGCTGTTGGTGCTGAAAAAAAATATGCTTAATGTTCAAATGGATGCAATTGGCTGTGCCCCATCTGATTTTCTGCTTATTTTTATTGTTCTACAACGGGACGAAAAGTGAAGTCTATTGAATGTTTCATGTAACATCAGAGTAGAGATCACACATGATAGATCACACCATCCTGTCTGGCCTAAACTAAACAAAAGCCACAAGTCAAAGCTGGGAAAGTACATCAAGAGTGTCACCATTACCTCCTGCGACAGGTACGGCAGCACCTGAGCACAGATCCCATTCAGTCTCTTCACTATTTCGGCCTGCAGAGGAAAGAAAATAGACCCTCAGACCACCAGAGCAGAAATGTCCCACAAAGCAGAGGAGGAATGGTATAACGACGACTTACCTGTTTGTGCATTTCAATGTTCAGCCCGTAGGACATTTCATAGTACTGCAATACACAGAGGGGGACAAAGGTAAGAATATTTATCAACTGCAGGCGCTATTGTTTCTTTCTAGGAAATAATTCCATCTGATTGACATCATATTTTGTAATATCCGTCAATAAAAATTCAGATATTTTTCATTTCATGTGATCTATAATTGATCATTAGAGAAGCTGTCCGGGTCTGTGGCTCATGTTGAAGTCCTTGCACTAACATGTTGCACGCTTGGAGTTTGAGTTATGCATCTATTACACAAAGAAAATCTGTAGCTCACTCAGAGTCAGAAGGTGGGAAAAAAAAAAGATTTCACATCTCACTGACGAAAGCCAATGCCACACATACCATGATATAGTGACGCTGCATCTCGGACTTTTCAGAGGCCAGTTTGTCGCACTCCAACTTCAAACTGTGCACACATTAAATGAAAACAGCAGAGATCAGACTGGTTTTTAAAAAACACGCTATTAAACCAACTGCTTAGTAAAAAGCAGAATGAAGAATATTTACCCAAAGTTTCAAAACAACATTAGGAACAAGTTAAGCTCGGATGGAACGAGGTCCGTTGTCCTAAGTATGATACGCTGTAATGTTTTCGCCCTTAGCAATCATAATAAAGTTTACAGCAACCCAATGTCCTCATATATCATTGTAAAATATAACTGGGACAGCTATACCAGACGCAAGGGGAGAAAAACTGAACTGACTTATAGGTTAGTGAGGATGGGAAATGAAAGCCAAGATTAGAAATATCTCTGTTAATTCTCTGTTAATGCTCATTTTCACTCCTCATATTAAGGAAATATTTGAATATTCATTTCTTAATAAAGAAAATAGACAATTAGGCTAGAATTTAGATAATACATTTAAATTCAAACAATCTGAAGGATTGTCAATGTTTAAAGGATGAGATATCAAGCCTAAGTGACCCTTGTTCCCTCAGCAATGTATACTTCAAGATGGTCATTCATCAATTGTTGATTTAACCATGTGGGTAGGAAGGTGGAAATGTGATTTTAGGTCAAAACCTGGATCAAAACCTTCTTGGCAGGAAATGGAAGTTGTGTACCTGTGGTACTGTGCTTGGAGGAACTGGAACTCATCCTTGATGCGGTCACAGGAGTCGGAGGTGGTGAACTTCAGAGGTTGACCGGACTGAGAAGACGCCTTAAGACACAGACCACAGATATAACCAGATCAAACCCAGAAACGCATCCTCTCACCGGATCCAAGGCCTGCAGCCTCAAACCTGTATCTGGATTCCAAACCTTTGCTTTCAAATACTGCGAGCAGCTAAGGAAGAAACAAACCCATCCTTTGCAGAAATGTGAACAAGTGGAGCTGCACTGTGCATGTTTTAATCAAAGTGTTTAGAAACAGCAGCTTGACCTCTGAGATTAACACTTTGAGGGGATAGGCTAAATTAATGTCAGCCCTAAACAGTCCGTCCTGGATCATGTGAGCCAAGCATAAAACAAGATAAAGAAAGACACTGTGTGCTGGAACGCCAGTTCACAAGCCTCAACCAGCACAGGCTGCATCTTTACAGCTGTCAAAAGGAAATACAAGACATCCGTTGGCACCCAAACGCCAGTCTCCTTCCTTTAGGAGTACAACATGTGTTGGTCAAAGAAATGTTTTCTTAAGGCTGAGTGTGCCCATGCAGACCATATGCGAGTGGTATTAAGAGGCAGCATTAGAAGTCTGGTTATGTATAGACTACACTTAAACCATCAGCACAAAGCTGTAATCCAGGGTTTATCTGGTTCCCTAAACCTCATTACTCTCTAAATAAGTGGCACAAGGGCAAGAAGTTTCCAGCTGGATTATGGGATTGAACAGCAAACACTGAGTCACCCGGTCTCAAAGAGATCAACTGATCAACCAACCCGATGACTCTGTGTGCTTTACAAAAGCCCAGGAATTTAATCTCAGGTTATTAATCAAAATCACTCTCCTCTAAGCAGTGATATGGTAAATGAGGTTCCTCTTTTTAAAAAAAAAATGTTTGGTTGAATTGCATTAAGGTTCAAAGAAATCTCTTTAAAAAAAAAATGGGGAGGGGGGGGGACTTGGAAATGAGGAAGTGAAACAGCCAGAAATCTAACCAGCAGTGTCCGCTTCTAAAGCTACAATGCCCTCTGCCAGACCAGGGCCAAAGTCAGGGAGGCACTCATGTTTAAACAGACACTTCTTTCACTCTAAATTCTTCTTCTTGTGTTTCATTGTCCAACGCTTGGTCACCATGATCTCAGTATGTTTGATGCAGAAAATCAGCTGTTAGGATATCAGAGGGGAAAACATTTTCAAATGCAGCAGTAAGAACTGGGCAACTTCTCTATTAGATCAATAACCCACGTTTTTTTCTCCCAAATTAGAAATGTTGGCTCAACAAAATGGCTGAAAAGAGTGAAGGGTTCGTCTCACAATGCCCCAACATTAGTTCAGTTTCATCTACTATTAATGGACAAAGAAGGCAAAGAAAAAAGCACGAGTGCCCATGAGCTGAAGTTAGGACACTTTAAGATTTTTTGGACTTTGTTATTTTCCCCTTCAACAAAGGAATTCCCAAACATTTGGCTTCGAGCGCTTCCTCGTCATTATTGTGTAACGTATAGGCTCTATGTGACTGTGGCTCCTTTCTTTGTACAGACGTGACTTGTTTTTCTGTAAAAATTCCCCTTTATTTGAACTCGGTGAGATGCAGGGTTGCACGTCTTGTGCTCTGCTGCAAACACGGCGAGGCGAAAACAAGCCTGAAATGCGCAGTCTGATTTAGCCCCACTCACCGACCGTTGGCTTGAATTAGCTGTTTTGAGTCACGGCTAGCTAACGACAGCCTGTTTACACACGCCAATACGGGCCAAAGAGACAACATGGTGACTCTCCGTTTCGAATTAAAGTTTTAATATGCTACCATTTAACGTTTACGACGCGGTGGGAGCTGCGGGGGAGGTCTGGCATTGTGTGGCGAGCTGACAGCTACCAGCGGTGCTACTGTTTATATCAGCTGTCGGCTGCTAGCTAGCGTTAGCTCGGCTTCCACCCGGGACAAGTTCGACCAACCAACTTACCGAGTGCCTTGATTGAGGAAACATCATGTCAGCAGTGTGTCTCGCCGTGCTCCCTTGCTCTAATCGATCCACCAGGCTAGCTGGCTAAGCTAACAGGTCCCCGGGTTGTATTATATGACCGGAGACGCTATTCGCACTTTGTACTCTGTCATCCTTTAAAACAACATTAGCTAAAGTCAAAGCGGCGGCGGCCGAAGATCGTCGTCTGGTCTTCGCGCTCGGAAACGCCGCTGTCTCCCGGGAGGAACGGGCGAACGGCGAGAGGAGGCTGCTCACGGGAGCATCGGGTATTTGGGAATAACGATAACGCTGCGCCTCCCTGGGGGAAACCCTGGACGTTGACACATGAGCCCTCGACTTTCCTCTGCTTTGAAGAGAGGAGCAGCATCACCCGGAACCCGAACGGAGCGGCTGCGGAGGAGCGGGCGCCCCTGGCGACTCAGAGCTGAACTGACCGTCTCAAATCAGTCTCAAATCTATCTTAACTTGCATTGTTTGGTGCTGCACTTCACACAGGAATGCATTTCTTTTTGTAGACTCGTTGTTACCTCAGATAATCAGATCTAGACTTTCAGGCCTTATAAAGGTTTTGTCATCAGACCTGATTGTGTCTGATGATTTCTGCCTGTGCATTCACTTCAATCCTGGTTTATGGTCTTGTCCTTTTGAATGCAGATTTATCTGGATGTTGATAAGTCATTCCATGCATTAAATGAAAGCTGGCTACTCCAAACTATATTTTGGCACAAAGGTGGAAGTAGTAACTAGAAGATACAGATAAACCACCTCTCACCCAGAACTATTTATCAAGTCTGATCCCAAGAACTTGAGTAAAGGCAACTGGACATCTTCTTGGATTTTTAAGGCCTCGCTCAGAGCTGAAGCCTTGTGACCCAGATATCCACACCAACCCAAAGAGCTTGCCTATATTCAGTCCATTTCAGCCTCCCATGCAAGTTTACACTTATTCCTCACCATTGAAGCAATAATGATATGCTCTGGATTTTTCCCCCGTAGAAAAACAAAAGCAAAACAGCTTTTCAACAATTCTAATTTTAGTTAATGTCCCAACTTTTCCATAAATGTTAGAATTTAAATTGGGACCTTTTTAACTACTGAAACCATGTGCCTCTCACTCATTTTGAGGGACAGCTTCTGTTATTCACTTTCAGTGCTTGAAATAATTCCAAGATGCGGCACCTTTGTTGTCTGAGACAACTTTTCCTTTTAAGACCCTCTCAAAGACCCTCTGTCCTCCGAACAGAATCATGAAGCCCACTCGTACACCTTCAGCAAGTATAGGAACAAATTTATTTCAATTTAAAACAGATACCTTTTCATTATGTTTCTCTCTTAGAAGGCGGCAATGATCATAAGTCATGTTCATGTCTGAATGAGGATCAGGCAACAGTGGTTGAAACAAATACATGAAACACATTAAAAAAAAATATATATGGCAAGAGTTACGTAAATCAATTAATCGATAATAACCAACTGATTGAACCCTTTCATCAAGGGCTCTACTTCAATGAAAACATCCAAGCCCTCACTTCCAACACAAAATAAACAGCACATGCAGTAATAATTACAGTTTCTTAAAAAACAAAAAACAGCAGATAATCTTTTAAATCTTCAATCTTAAATACAGAATAAAGTCTTTGTGTGTACTTAATCATCTATTCTTTTAGTCTCTAGTACGTTTCAAAAAGGGGAACCATCTCAAGTGGTGGTCTTTCTGATAATGACCACAGCGTTGGCACTTAGAGAGAGCCTGGCTCTAGAGAGTGGGGTTGGCACACTCAGTATAATACATAATATACATTTTGGTTTACATACAAAATAAAGAAGAAAAAAAAACAGCATTTTATACACACCACTACACAACTGACCTTCAGGTTTCATTGGAGTGCGGAAAGAAATCAAGTGGTCCTAAAATATAGTGTTCTGGTAATGTCATTGTATAGTAAATAAAAAGGGAAGGGGTGGGGGGAGGTTAGGCTGAGTGTGCACCAACTCCATAATGATCTCCAAAAGATAGGTTTGATTCCACTTACTCTAAGCGCAAACTCACAAAAGAGGGCGTGACACAACCCTGGGCGCCCTGGGGTCACAGAACGTACTATAAACCCAAAGAAGGCCCAGTGTCGCCATCTTACATTATTCAAGGCAATGAAAGGCAATAAATAAGTGATGCAGTGAAAAACTAAGCCATTGTCGTTTTCTTTCTTTTGCCTGCTTTATGGTGAAAACAAACAATAACGAGAAGATTGAGCTTCCATACAAACTGCATTCCCCCTTTCCAGCTGGATTATGTCGACATAAAAGATGTGCCAAACGCATACTGTGCAGCGGTGGGCTGTCCACGCGGCACCACACTCCACCCTCATCTGCCACTCTGCTCCTCAACGTGTGCCAGAATTGTAGTCAAGTTAACAAAAACATGGCGTGTCACCATTAGAAAAAGTGAGCTGCACTCAACACAGTAAATATCAACACTACCACTTATAAATACAGAGGTATGCATACTGGCTTATACTCTGTAACAGTCTAACTGCTGGCCTTCTTAGAATGAGGCAAGTGTCACTTTTCAGCAGACAGGATGGCATTTTAGGACCACACTGGTGTAACCGTCCTTGTACGGAAAGCAGTTTTAACTTCGATCGTAAACTTGAATCAAGCCTGCCGCTGCTTACTTTGAGCTCTTTGGTAATGATTCCCAAGTGTTTGGAGGACCACTGGCTACAGCTGATGCACTCAGGTAGGCGCCCGAAAATCCTATGAAAAGTGTTCGATTAAACAGGCTCCTTCCCACCAGCGACTGGGGTGAACTCATATCGCTTAGCGTCGTTTGTGTGATATCGTATAATCAAGTCCCAAATCTGGAAGGTTTCTGCTTTAGGTGAGACTGACTACCAGTGAGCCCAAAAGACGACACCAGCATGGTCTTAAAACATCTCTCGGCTATGAATTACAACTCAAACACTTGGGGGAACATGCAATACTTTTAGTTATAGTAGTGTCTTTACTGAATAAGTGTTTCTATACTGCATGAAGTATTACAGGCAACACTGATACCGATGCAAACAAACGAAATGTAGTAAGGATCAGAAAGGGACCAAAGGACCTAAAGAAATACTTAAAGAAAACTGCTTAGTGTTGGTAAACTTTCTACACGCACGCACACACCTTACATTTGTGCTAAAACCCTGCCTATACTTTTTTAAATTATCTTTTTACAGCACATACTGAACATAATCGCCATTTATAAGCAAGTATTAGCAGTGGGTGACTTGGTTCACTGTGGTCCTGTACTCCACTCCCCGCTGTCGGATGCACTGTGTTAGCCCTTAATGAGGATGAAGGGTAAGTCATCTGCAGCAAAAAAAAAAAAAGCCAGAGACCCCAAAGAGAGGAAAACAAAACAATGTACCTACACTTCACTGCCACTGTTCAAAAAGCAAGCAGAAAGAAGCACTGTAAAGTAATAATAATGGGGGGGGGGTAGATGTATGTGAAGTTAAAAATAGCAAGCATGGACCATAAAGGTCTCAATCACCGATTAAAAAAACATAACAAAAAAACAGCCTATTTTTGTACTGTACATTTTTCTAGGGATGTATTACAGCGCTGCATCTATAACCCGAGAGGAAATGACCTTCTTTTTAAAAAAAAACGGAACAATAAAAGTGAGAGGGCTCCTAAATAAACCAGACAGTATAACCATGGATGAAGATGTGGTGGCAAGCACAACTGGAAATGTCTAAGAAATAGAAAGCAGAGATAAAGTCCTTACTATACCAGACATTCGTGATCTTTTTTTTTTTCTTTAGCTTTTTTTTTTTTCTTTTCTTCTTACAGCAGTTCAGACTCAAGTAGGCTCCGCCATGAGAAAAGGAGCCCTTCAACATGACAGAATCACAAGCAGTCAAATTATCAACACTTTCAAAATCTGGTCCATAAATTATATAAATTAAAGATTTTTTTTTATTTATAACTCTAATCTTTTATAAGTCATCTCGTCACCACACTGTGAAGTTTTTTTTTGTTGTTTTTTTTTTTTGTTTTTAAACCAGCCCTAGTTAGTTTGACAGAGACGGAGCTGCAGCAGTACTGTGGAGTCCTGAGGCTGGCTGAGAGGAACCCCTCAAGTCGGACTGTTGCCTCTTCGTTTCCTCTGCACCGCCCAGCTCTGTGTAATCCTATTAAATCAAGTGAACAAAATCCATAAATCACAGTATAAAGACTACCGTTAATTCATAGGAAAAAAGAACTGTTTGCTGATAAAAGTCAATACTTTGCTTTCGCCAAAGATGGTGTACCACGGAGCATTTTGTACAGAAGTGTTTTGTGTATACGTATATACAAATATACACAAACACTGGTAGTGTCCCCTCCCCCCACCCCC